CCTGCTAATTAGTGCTAACAGTGCTAACATAAATAAAATAATACTAGAATTTAACTTACTGAAAAACACAGACTTCTTGGACGGTCTGTTAGTACGATACATCCCAATGGTCGTAATGTAGGCTCAATAACAACTTGAAAATAGTCTCAGCAACACGCACGTGATACGGGCCCCCAGAACAGTATCCGCGGGAGGAACAGAATCCTAACAACTGAAACCTTGTTGCTCATCCAGTTGACTCCTGACTCTTTGACGGCGGAGAGGGAATATACAGATATCAGTGCAAAATGGATATGTTTAGTTCACTAAAAGCATGAGCACATTCATGCACAACGCTACAGAGTAAGACTTCTTATCAGCAGCTAATCTCATTAGCTCATTGCTATACCTACATTTTTCTCATAGCAGGAGAAAGAGAGAGGATGGTCTCTTCTCATACTATGGTATACTAGTGGGTCTTGACCTCTATGGTCTTGACACACTGGGGAGGGGACACATATTTAGGCTGGGATTTAGTTTTTGTTTTGATAACTACATTTTTTGGGGCAGTTTTTTTAAATAAATTACATACATTTAAATGTTATGATTGCCACATTCTATTAAAAAAAAGTATTTGGAATGCTTACAATTTAGCATTGCACTTCCACAAACTTGACACATTGGTAACTGCTGGACAGTAAGACCTCACATTGTGTTTTTAAAATGCAGATTTTTTTCCGTATTAATTTTGAGTCTAAGGACTCAAGCCTAAATGAATGTAAGACTGTGGACATCACCAGGATTATTTTCTCAGACTTTGCGAAGCCCACTCATAGAGACAAGACATTGAACAAACTAGAGTACAAAATGTTGACAGAACTCATATTTTAATAATTCTTAACAAGTATAGGTATGGATTTACACTCAGTTCATAACTTTGTTTTTTATGCTTTGTATTTTTGTACATATTCTGTGCGTGCAAGGCAAAGATAAACAAGACTGTAGAAAATAACTTCTTTCCAAGTATGAGACGCAGGCTCAGGAAACTGAACTGAGGTCTGCTCTTACAAAACACACACCATCCTCCACAGCCACCTGAGAGTTTGATAGAATAAATATACTCCTGTTGCTATCTCACACTATCTCTGATCATATATTGGTCATATCTGGTCTCTTATGAAATGATAGATATGGTGATTATTACATGTGTGTGTCTAATGTAATGACCCTAAAATGTCACATATTGATGTGATTCAACAGAAACATGCAGAGCTTTAGTGTCCCATGTGTACATTTCAAGATAATAAAAGGCTGATAGTAGAAAATAAATAACACTTAACAAGGCAGGATTTATTTTTCCCACATCGATGGCATGATGAGATTGTTAGAAATATTGTAAGGGAAATGGATTTGACATTGTTTTCAATGTGTACAATTATTTGAGAAAATAACATTGGGTTTTTTCCTTTATTTGTCAATTCCTTTTTCAAGATGTTGGTTAACTGGGATGTTTTGGTATATAAATGCAAAAACATCAATGTTTTATGTTTCTTAATCCTAGTCTGGTCCCAAACCTCCAAATTGCCAACCACATTTGAAAATAAACTGATCGATTCAAGTCTGGTGCTGTACTGTTGATTATGTGAGCCAGTTTAGCCTTTTATAAGCTTAACTTCAATAATCATAACTGAAGTAATCATCCCACTGTCAGACTTTGAACCTGGTGACTAGTGTGGATGAAACTGAAACAACTATTGGGACTGTTAGTAATGTACTGAATGAAACAAAAGTCTAAAATGAGAACATTTAACTAGAGGCATTCCCACAAAACAAAACAGTGCCATGCTCTTCTACCTGTTGGTTTAGAAAATACTTGAATTTAGCTGTTTGCCCCTGTAGCACATGAGGAAATGGTATTGAGGGTTAGTGTATTGCTGTTTTCTTCCTGGATAGTCTTATTGAATGGGGCGGCTGCAGTTAAGGAGGTAGAGCGGGATGTCCACTAGATCTGCGATACTTTGACTCTGCATAATGGCGCATTTCCACTGCAGGGCCTCGCGAGGCTTAGTACGGTATAGTTAGGCCTTGGTAGGCCAGGCTCACGTTATGCTGCGTTTCCATTACAGTTTAGGAACTGGAGCAGTAACTAACGCAGTGTAGGCGGAGCCGTGACGTTATCTTCAATGCTAAACACAACACCAACATCAGCCGTTAGCCCTCAGAGCTCACAGCTCCTCATATCTGTTCAGAATCTAGACAAAAGTTAAACAAGTACAAACCACAGACTGTTTGTGTCATGGAGAATACAGTAGCTGGTTTATTTATGTCTGTATAGGCCGTTGTTGTGAGTGTGGACGGTCGGAGCATATACAACGTTAGCGTATCGGCCTCCATTCAGAAAACACGCATTTTAAAAGGTTTTTCGCCTGCCGTCTGTCTGCAAACTTGTCAAAGCATTAATTCATGGTTTTTACTAACCGGTATCAGTATGTTGTTACTTTGGCATCATTTTGAAACGTGTATTACAATTAAATCACGGTCAAATATTTTCATTTTATTGTAGTTGCCAGCGATTATCTTACTAGTTTAGCATACTCAGCCCGGTTGTTGGCCCTGAAAGAACCTCGATTTTGGAGAGCCAGAAAACTGTGAAAAAGTAACCGCTAGCCGAAACTACGCCTAGTGGAAACACAACCAAAAACGGGCACGGCACGCTTAAACCGCGCTGTCTTTGGGCAAGATACCCGACCCCAATTTCCTCAATCAGTGTATGAGTGTGAGTGAATAAGCCTTAGATTACATGATGAGCAGTTTGGCACCCTGTAAGGCAGATCTGCAGTGTATTAACTGACAAACTAATTGTCAGTGTGCACTATTGAGTGGCGCAGGAATGAGTTATAAAGCCCGGAATGAGTTAGCATTTTAGCACTTCATGTTCCCTGGTCTAGAACTCAAAGTTTTTTGAAGGCGTTTTCAATTAGATGCCTGCAATAAGGTCTGTGGTTAACACAAGCTGAAGAGATTGACGGTTGCCGGTTGATAACATGTGACTAAATGAGACTACTAAATGTCATCACACCAAATGTTAGCCGCCTTTAGCTTAGCTTAAAATCATAAAAGTGGTGTTAATATGTGGAGATGATCCTGCTGAACAAAATGTGTTAGTACCACAGATCTCATTTTTGTAACATTCCAATGGAAAAATCCCACTACTTTGTGTCGAGGGAGACATGGTGATGCTAACTTCCCGGTCGGCCCACAAAAAAATCGTCATCACTGCACCACTGTATAGGAGCAAAGAAACTCTCTCCCAAACAGCTATAGACAAAAACAAAAGCAGAGGATTACGAGGGGAAAAGTAGAGTTCAAAACATCATGCAATAAAAAATGTGAGTTACCACAAATGCCCAATTTAAAAAAAAATAAGCAAATGAGGGCCATATGTATGAATGTGGAAGAAATACCAAAATCCAATGGATAGAATATGTCCAACTAGTTCAAGAGCCTTTTTCCTTGAACCCGTTCATCTTCGGGAAAAAAATATCAACAAGGAAAAGTGAAGAGATATACTCTTTTAATTGTAAATTACACCATGTGCCTTTAAATCCCTTATTAAATAAAATGATAACATGTGAAATAAGTGAGTCTTTGACATGATGTGTTAATGAGCCACACTCAGACGTTCTGTTCAATTAGCCATCCTTGTGCGGAGATCACACAATAAAGATATCTCAACCACACACTCCTGTCAGTTACTCATTCAGCTGATGCTGTCTGTGTCCCATTTCAGACCCAACCTCCTTGGAAGGACTCAGATGACTCTTAAAGGTTTCCTCAGACGGAATGGAAAGTGAGTTTACAGGCGATCAGTTGCCTTCTTAATGCAAACATGCAATGGATGCAGATTTTCCCCTGATGATGCATATTAAAACAGCTGCCCTAATCAACGTAGAGATTTTGTCCTCAGCACAACAGGCCTGGGGCTTGGGAACCACATGGTCACTGGTCCAAGTTATAAAATATACGTGGTTTGGACTAGTAGCTGGAGATGAGCCAGTTCACCTCCTGGATACTGTCGGGATGTCTTTGAGCAAAGCACCAAACCCCCAACAGCTCCAGGGTGCTGAACTGCTGCAGCCCAGTACTCTAACAGCTGGTCATCAATTGCATTCATTTGTGCATGTGTGTATTTCATGGCCTACTGTGTAAAGGTCCTGTTTGTCATTTAGTTTGTCCGCTTTTTAATGTTTTGGGTGTTTGACCACTGGACGGTATGTGCAGTGTGTATTTATCCACCTCAAACGGACAGTACAGCAACTGTGCAGACATTCGCTTTAAGATGGCAACAAAACATGCACCACATGTAGTTGGTCTACCTATGCTGTAAAATGTATTATCTTTTCAATTTACACACGGCATCTATTGCACGTCTGTCCGTCCTGGGAGAGGGATCCCTCCTCTGTTGCTCTCCCTGAGGTTTCTCCCATTTTTCCCTTTAAACTGTGGGTTTTCTCTGGAAGTGTTTCCTTGTACGATGTGAGGGTCTAAGGACAGAGGGTGTCGTATTGTCATACTGATATTCTGTACACACTGTGAAGTCCACTGAGACAAATGTAACATTTGTCATATTGGGCTATATAAATAAACATTGATTGATTGATTGACCAACCATGTGCACTAAATTAGAGCCTGTATCCACATAGCGCCTTTTCTGAACACTAGCATCTTTTTCTCAATTGATTCAAATGAGGAGTGAGCCCATGCCATCACATGCGGCAACCATGAGAATAGACCAGGCTCTTTTTTTGATGCTTCAAATGCTTTGAGATGAAAATATAAAATCTTTTCAGAAAAGCGCTGGTGACATCGCTGTAGAAATGTCCAGCTAGCAAAACAAAGACATACAGTCTAGTTTGAGCAGAGCAGATGAGTGTTGTACTCTACCCATATTTTGATCTAGTTGTGACAAGCTCAATTATACAATGTGTGAGAGCAAGAATCCTCCAGTTGTTGCTAATATTTAATAAAATGAAAAGGGGCGATGCTAGCCTGTCACGCAACAGCAACGTTGTGAAGACGTGGAGACGCTGTGTGGACACAGGGTATTGGTTCTGAGACTTTCAAAGCGAGCACCCTGACACGGGACACAGCAGCTTTCTACAGGGGGGTACAACATTCATGCTGTTCTCAGACTTGGTATACCCTCCTATATCCTGATCTCAGTGATGTCACAGCCCCCCTCTCTGCCCAGGTGCGTCTTATGTCCTTTTTTAAGTCCGTGTTTGTGTTATTCGGACAGAGGGGGCTCAGTTCTTTGGTCTGCTGCCTTCACTGTGTGCTGTTTAGAGAGCTCCTCCTGTGTGCTGTTCCTCCCCTCCTCTGGGGGGGGGGCTGTGCCAGGGCTTTTCTTCTTGAGGGACAGGGGGCTAACTCGTGGGTTTTCTTGGGATTCAGATATAGTTGAGATTGTGCCGGGGGTCTTTTCTTGGGAGGGTGGGGACAGTAGTCGTTTTTCTAGAGTTTGAGGGAAACGGGGGCCTGTGCTGGGGCTCTTCTGCTCAGACGGGGGGGTTACAGGGGGCTTTTGGAGGCCGTGGATCAGCCTCTCCAGGACAGGTGGGGGTCTGTCGGAGGCTGCAGTTGGACTGAAGAGTCGGGCTGCTGATGCTTCTGTGGAGGAGGGACACGCTGAGCCTGGGGGAGGGGGCTTTGTTTCAGCTCCACAGCCCATCCTGCCTCTCTCTGCCTTCAGCTCCTCTTCATCCTGGACAGTCTTCCTCTTCTCTTCTTGTTTCCCTGCGTGACCGGCTGCATGGATGAAGAACAGATAGACAGATATAAGCACTGGAAGAAATGCTGCTCCAAAAAAAAGTACAGAAATAATGAAAACACAGCGTTTTTGTTTATCGTTTTTCACTTATTATAAGAACAATATCTGCCAATAGAACAAGTGAAAATCTGCTTGGAAAGATTTCCTGAAATAAGATATTCCTGATATTTAGATAAATTACATCCTGTAATTAGCTGGGAAAAAAGGATTTTGAACTATATTAGACCAGGATCAGGAGATGTTGTGTTACAAAATAAGCCAGAAATGCTTTTCCGTTTTCTGGTGATTTTCTAATATCAAGTAAGATATATATATTTTTTAAACAAGAGGATAAATCTTTTACAAATACCACACTAGCTTAAAAACCTTGTGACATGTTTCATCTGAGCTACAACTCAAAATAAGATGTTTTTAAATAGATACTTAGGATGCATTGTTTAAAATCATAGACCCTATATCTCACTGCATTGTTACTTCTTAAGTTATTATGTCCATCTATTATAAAGACATATTCTGACTAGAGATTAGACAAATATACTTTGCAAGATTTGGGGTTTTTGCAGTGAGAACGTGTTTCAACAGAAAGAAAGAAGCAACATGTCTCTTATATTAAGAGAGATGCAGAGTTCAGTTATGAGCATGAACCCTCCTCTCACCCTCCTGAGCTCTCTGTGCTTCCTCCACACAGGGAGGGTCTTCAGTGCAGGGGGGCAGGTCTCCTCTGGAGCCGCGGAAACGGATAGGAGACCTCTGCAGCACCGCCTTCAGCTCTGAGAGACATGGAGACAGAGTTTAACTTTAATCATGACCGTGTGTACAAAATAACTATAAAAGCCAAGTACACAAGTCAAGTAGTGTATCAGTATTTATGTATAAACAAAAGTAAAGTGAAATGTCAGTTTGTATCAGGGTTCTCCATGAGGGAACAGGGTGATGCTGCATCCTTATCAGCTGTTCTTTTCACAGCTTTAAAGTAGAGAACATTTAACATGTATGCAATATAAAGCTTGAGGGAGCGGCTTCACCCCTGGTCTTTTTAGGAATTGGCTTGAGAATGTTCCAGACAATTGTTATTCACTGCTGACGAAGGCCTTCATCGAAAAGGAGAATTTCAAGAGCCAGACAATTCTATCATGTTCTCGTTTCTGCTGAATCAATAACCTCGCTGTTGTTCCTTTAGTTTTCAAAGCCTCACCTTGCGTCATGGCCAGAGTGTCCTCATGGACTGACACAGCTCTGCGTTTCAGAACGGGCTTCAAGTGTTGCCGTGTCTTAGGAAGACTCTCTGAAAGTATACAAGTGAATAAACAAATCAGCTTTTCTTCAGCTACTAAATGTAAAACCTACTAACATGTGGTAGACCACACAAACATATTAACACGGTTTAATATTATTATAATTATCTGCTACTTCACTCCCTAAGACTGTAACAAATGTTGGGAGACTTTTACATTTTAATTATGTTATACCTGGTACTTTTTTCAATGCTCACTAACTTCATAATGCTGCTACTTTTTGATTATACCTTGTATTTGTAACTTTACTTTTCATCCATACCAATCCACCTCTAATATGGAGGAGGATGTGGTTTCTGTGAGGAGTCAGACGTACCGTCGGTCACTGACTGCGCTTTCTCCGAGCGCTCCTGTGTGCCGGGCCCCCTCCAGGCTGACGGAGCAGAGGGGAGCAGCTCCTTCCTGGGGGACAGAGCGGAGGCTGCACCCGGGGGCCGCTCCTGGCTGCCGTTCTGGAGAAGAAGATCAGAGGATGAAACTCAGCGAGCCGTGACACAAACAATAATAATAATAATAATACATTACATTTATAAAGCGCTTTTTCTGGTGCTCAAAGCGCTTACAAGCAAGTAAAACAAAATAACAACAAAAGTAGAAAGTGCTAAGCTAGGAGGAATAAGGGCAAGGGGTTAGTTGATTAGGAGTTGAATTCAAGAGTGAAAAGGTGAGTTTTGAGGGATTGTTTGAATGATATGAGAGTGTAGGCGGATCTGACGTGGCTGGGGAGGGAGTTCCAGAGTGTGGGGGAGGCTGCTGCGAATGTGTATGTGCTGACTGACTGAGCATGGAGGCAGGGAATGCATGTTGCAATATGGAAATCAAAAGTAGTTTGTGGTGATACACCTAGCTCAGAAGTCTAAACGACCGTTGTGGAACAAATCCTTACTTCAGTTGTAGTTTGTGCTACTGTTGATTTGTATTGTGTTTTTTGTCTTTCTAATATTCAGTTCACCCTCAATGATATATAATGGGAAGAAATGTATCAAATATACCTCAAATGTGTTCATTTTCTATCTTTCTTTCTTAAGTGTATTCAACAAATATCGTTTTTTTCGCTATATTTATTTATTGAATGTAACTTCTTTATGAAAGCAGTGCATGGTTTATATCCCCCTCCTTCTGGAAACCTCCTCTCATGTTTTTTCTTCTTAGAGCTTTTCAGCAGTTGTCTTTCTTAACGTTGCATTGATCTTTTGTTTTGCTTATGCTGAAGCTTTTCATAATCCAATACATGCTGTCTTCTTTTCTTTTTTTTTACTTTCTACCCTTCAGAGCATTCTTCAGTGCACCATTTTAACCCATATTTTACAGGTGCTTTTCACAGAAATGTGATGAACCCTGCAGTATTTTCTTCTAATTTATTTTATCTTCATCACAATAAAGTACATTTTCCTTAGTTTGAAAAAAACACATATCCCCTCATTCTCTATTGGTTACTGAACTGTCTGCATTTTGTAGTCTGCTGCCCCCCCCCCCCCCCCCCATAATGTTTTGTCAGCATTACAATCACCTCACCAAATCTCTCTGTTTTCTTGCCCTTGCCTAAACCTTCCTCATTCTTTAAAGGTCACCTATTATGCAAAATCCACTTTTTCGTGTCTTTTGTACATCAACATGTGTAAAGATATTCTGAAGGTTTCAGGAAAAAAGATTTGCTCACCGTTTGTCCTGATCTAGTTATATAAAAACCTGTCTGAAAATGAGCTGATCAGATTTTGGCCACTTTATGATGTCATAAGGTTTTATTGCCCCCCCCCCCCCCCCTTATCACCTGAATCTCCTCCTAGAGCACCATTGAGTTCTTTGTAACCAAATCTCTCTCAGAGAGGCGTGGGGAGGGGCTCCTTATTTTCATCTAAAGTAACAGACAGAGAATCCGCACTTTGGAAACAGGGCTGAAACAGAGGGGATTATGGGATGCTGCAATGATCTGTTTGGTATTTCAGCCAAACATTTCAGAGACTTTGTTTGTATATATCTGAGACCTATAACATATTGATGAAAAACAGTATACTAGGGGACCTTTAATCTTGTGGCCTCCATAAATCAGCATACCCTAATTTGAAATCACAATTCAAATGGAATGCTGCTAAATTATAGTAGTTAACCTTTTTAATTGTAATTGTAACTGTATTTATATGACTTATTATATTAATAAACTAAAGAACCAAGTTATCTAACTATAAAAAATACCCTGAAAGAACCGAAACGTTGACTACATTTAATGTATTATGTCAACAGATTTCCCATAACTGTATTAGGTTAGACGAAAGCAATAATATTAGGTTTAAATACAAAATAATAGGTTCAACTTAATAGTATTGCTTTAAACTAACCTAATACAATTATGTGTAACCTGTTGACACATTTAATTCAATACATTTAATTAGAGTCAATGTTTAATTCTTTCAGTGTAACAAGTTCCTGCTTCAAAGCATTTCCTCCTGTGTTGTTATCAGTTTAAAGTTATCATAAGAGGTAAATATTAACAAGGCATTGACATGACACTCTTGCTGCTGGGTTCCCTCTGAAGTTTCTGACTGACTGCAGTGTTACCTGTGCTGTAGTATCGCTCAGCCGGCCGTCATGGATGTGTCTGAGCTGCACCCTCCCTGCTGAGCTGCTGGGGGGGGGAGCGGAGGAGGGACGGGTTGCCCCCCCGGCAGGAGAGGCCGGGGTGGGGAGGGGAGGCTTGGCTGCCACGGCAGGTTTAGGCGGCAGGGGGCCGACTGGGCGCTCGTGAACGGTGGGTTTTGGGTGAATAGGGGGGTCCGGTCTGATGGGGTCCAGCGCTCTCATTGGATGTCTGGGGTCAGCTGGAAACAAGGTGCAGAGACAGTGAGTAGAAGACAGTGTGTGAATGATGCAGGGATGATTTTTGTAGGCCGACCCGGAAGTTAGCATTGCATGGGATACCTTAACAAAAAGCAACAAGATTTCCTTTTGCTTTAGAAAAAGTGCAGAAATTAAGCTCTGTGGCAAACACACTTTTGATACTTGTTCTTTTCAGCAGGATAATCTCCACATATTAACACCACTTTATAGTAGTTGAATTATTAATGCAATTGAAAGAAGTAAGTTGCTAACGTTAGGCTATAAAGGAACTACATCACTGTTGCACTTCAGGTCAACATCGCTAAGCTAAAGGCGGCTAATGTTTGGCGTGATGACATTTATGCGGCTTTCACACCAGCGCTTTTCCCTTTCTAGCTCCGAGCGGGAGCTTTTCTGGTTCAGCTCCGGTTTCCCTTTTCTGCTCCCGCTCTGTTCACACCGCCCAGAGCTGCCGCTGCTGCGTCATGACGTCACCGTTTACGTGCCTGCTTCATAAAATCCAAACCGCGCGGATATCCCTCACATTGACAACAACAACAATGGCCGATTGTATTGAAGCGCTGTTCGCTTTGGTTATCCTCTTACGAAACGAAATGGAAGGCATCGGACGACTTTACAAGGGACGACTTTACTTGGAACTTTACAAACATCACATGCGAAATGCAAGACTTCTTTGTGGTCTTCAGCATCTACTTCAACGACGAATCTGCCCCTGCCCCCGCCTCGACGTAAGAGAGACGTAAGCGACGCCGCCTCTTAGCTCCGAAGCTCTTGCCTCTAGACCGACAATTTTTTGGTGCTGGAAGTGAACCGGATTCCGGAGCTAAGAGGCGGCGCCTCTGCGGTGTGAACAGGAAAAACCAGTACTTTTCAGGCTCCAGCTCCGAGCCGGAGCTGAAAACGCGTTGGTGTGAAAGGGACATTAGTAGTCTCATTTAGTCACTTGTTAGCAACTGCTGTTATTATAATGTTTTAACTCCAGACATACACCAGTGGGGTATTTGCCAATATACAGTATATAAGCCGTAGAACCAAACATGAATATCTCTTCATCCTAAAATGGCGATGGCTAGCAAGCTGCTAACTGAGAATGCTAAAATCCATCATTCCTGTCACTACCCGATCTGCCGCACTGCCCTATCTGCAGTGTGCATGTGCGAGATGGTCCGCCATATTGGACAACTACATACGGCAACTCTAATAGGACACTTGACACAGTGGCGTTTGGCAAAGCACAAAAAGAAAACTCGAGAGAGAGATGAGTTATTATTATTACAACGTGACTTCACTATTATTTAACAACTCTTTGGGGTTCTTTTATTTGGGGTTAAGTACATTGTCAGAATAAGTGAGAAATGGATGCAAAAAGAGTTGTTAAATAATAGTGAAGTCACGTTGTAATAACAATAACTCATCTCTCTCGTTCAGATTAATATTGTCAGGTTTTTTGAGTGTTCTTTTTCTGCTTTGCCAAACGCCACTGTGTCAAGTGTCCTATTAGAGTTGCCGTATGTAGTTGTCCAATATGGCGGACCATCTCGCACATGCGCACTGCAGATAGGGCAGGGCGGCAGATCGGGTAGTGACAATGCCAAACATTAGTCACCTTTAGCTTAGCGCTGATGACATGTCACGTCACCACCTTGTATTATCTTTGGATTTTTGGCAATTGAATTTACGCTTCATAAATGAATCACCAACAGTGACACCAGCAAAGCCCCCCCACACCATCACACGTCCTCCTCCATGCTTCACCATCACACTTCCTCCTCCATGCTTCACCATCACACTTCTTCCTCCATGCTTCACGGTGGGAACCACGCATGCAGAAACCACCTTCTCTGCGTCTCACAAAGACACAGCGGTTGGAACCAAACATTTCAAATATGGACCCATCAGACCAAAGTACAGATTTCCACTGGTCTAATGTCCAATCCTTGTGTTTCTTGGCCCAAACAATTCTCTTCTTCTCATTGTTCATCCTCAGTAGTGGATCTTTGCAGCAATTGGACCATGAAGGCCTGATTCACGCAGTCTCCTCTGAACAGTGGATGTTGAGATTTGTCTGCTACTTCAGCTCTGTGATCATTTATGTTGGCTCCAATCTGAGGTGCTTTAATTTGCAGTTTCTGAGGCTGGTAACTCTTGTGTATTTATCCTCTGCAGCAGAGGTAACTCTTGGTCTTCCTTTCCCGGGGGGGGGGTCCTCATAGCGTTCAATGGTTTTTGCGACTGCTCTTGAGCATAGGCGGCGCGTGAGGCTCAGGTTTGGGAAGGCTAAATAACTTATTTTACCTGACGCTGCCCGCCTCCGCGTCTATAGAAAAGAGATCAACTCAGTGAAAGCACCGCCTGCTGACCAATCAAAGCTCAGTGTGCGGAGTTTAAATCTATCAAGTCATATTACAGGATAAAGGAAATGCAGTTTAAACTGCCGTATGCAGAGAAGACGCCGACGTGTCGCACTTATCATTCATATCACATCATCAATCAGATCATCGATCATATAATATATCATATTTCCTTATCTGAGTCAGCTTCTCGAGCCGTATCACTTACATTGTCACATATAGCCTACTGTATGCAGACGTATTATTTTAAGCAACACATTAAGTTGACAAAACACTCAACTCAAATGTAATTCAAGTCAGATCCACTCGTGTCTTAGATGGGGCAGTGATATCATAAAACTGTTGTACGCTTTCAAACACTCTGTAGTTTATTTATTTTTTAACCAGTTGTTCTGTATTCTCCTTGCAGGTGGCTATGTGGCTTGTTTCCTGGATTATATGTTTAATTCACGGATGTTTAAAGTTCATATTTGTCTAATATTAGTTTACTTTTCATTAATGAAGTATGACGCTGCGCTGTCAGTACACTTGTCCCTGTTTGTGATTGGTCAAATGTTGCTAACCCCGCCCCTTTCACGTGAACGCGCTCTCAGCTGGAGAGAGAAACCCTGGCTTGATTTACCGAGTTGATATTAACCAGCGTCGTAGGACCGCTTAGCGAGATCTCGTTTGTTAGGGTTAGTTAAGATAACTCAAACATTTCCAGGGTCTGTTGAACTGGCTTCGTAGTACAGAAAATTGATGGACTTTTATTAATCCCTCGTGGGGAAATTGTTTCTCTGCATTTAACCAATCAGAAGAGGCTTCTCAATACTCAAATTTCCCCTCCTCGACTCCTCGGTCCTCGGTCCTCCGGTAGTGACCCGGAAATGAATTTCAGCGCGCCATTTTGAAGGACATCTCATTTCTCTAAATGCACACCGAGGACCGAGGATCGAGCGTCGAGGAGGCTCTCTGGAGGAGCTCTAACCGAGGATACACTGATGGTTCCTCCACGGCTCCTCCACGGATGCATTTCCGGGAACGGTGGAGGCGTGACGCACGGCCGGACTTATCTCAGCCAATGACAGCTATGCATGCATCCCCTGGATATTATTTTAGAAACTGCTTTCATCGCGTCGCGATGTTTCCAGAGAGAACAGCTGTAAGGTCCATGCAGAAAGCAGAGCAGTGTGTATAATATATATCACTCAGTATAACAGGCCTACTCTCTTTATTTGCTTTAGTTTAGTAGATATCTACAAACAAAGAGTCGATATTTTTCTAAGACCATTGCTTCACATAATAAAATACACAACGGCTTATGCTTTAGGAGCTGTAGGTGTGTGTGTGGTACAGTGTGTAGGTGTGTTGTACAGTGCGTAAATGCGGCGGACAGACGGGTCTCAGTTGGTTTGGTGTCCTCTGCTTACTTTTAATAGGCCTACTTGTAAATACAACTTTTGGCCCGTAATTTCAATTCCCCATTTCAGCGACCAGAGAGAGAGGGGGGGGGGGGGATATATCCAGTCTCTGATTGTGTTACGTTATTATGAGAGTGCTCTCATACTTTTGTATAAATTGTATATATTTATATACATATATTTGTGTGTGTGTGTGTGTGTGTGTGTGTGTGTGTGTGTGTGTGTGTGTGTGTGTGTCCGCATCTGTAGTCTGTTATTGTCTCATTATACCGCACTCTCAATGAATTCAAAGTAAATATGTGGGGGAACAATGTTCAGCTGATCTAACAGAGATACAGCGCTATGACAAAACACTCGGCAGCTGTTGCCACGTAATAATGAACGGACGTCTCTTTAAAATGACCGCTCAGAGGAGAGGAGTTCTCATTTCTTTAAACGTCTGCTGCTTCCCCTCCTCTCTCCTCGGTTCCCCTCCTCGGTCCTCCGCTCGCATCTCCTGTGGGCGGGTCTAGGTCTCGAGGAGGGGAACCGAGGAGGGGAGTCGAGGAGGGGAAATTAGAGTATTGAGAAGCCTCTCTAGTGTTAGGAGCAGTGTGCTGCCATTTTGAACGTCGCCCGGGGAGCAGTGTGGGGAACGATGCCTTGCTCAGGGACACCTCGGTAGCACTTGGTCTTGCCGGGACTTGAACTGGTGACCTTCCAGTTGCCAAGCCAAGTCCCTATCGACTTCGCCGCCACCGCCCCAGGGCACAGGTGGCTGCATAGCAGCGCTAATGTCCAAGACACAAACATTATACATTATGTTTTTCTTTTACCAGGATGCAGTGACACAAATATTTGTCTACACTTCAGGCATCGAAAAATGCTTTCACCGCTTCGCCCATTCACTTGAATGGGGTGACGTAGTTGATTTTGAATCTTCGCCGAACTGCATTGTGGGGAGCGGAGCGTGGCTTTGCAAGCATCGTGAGCATCAAAAGTTGAGCAATGTTCAACTTTTGAGGCTCGATGCTTGGCATCAGCCAATCAAATCCCGTTTATGCAAATCCTGCCAGTACAAGCGCTAGCCAATCAAACCGCGTGCAAGCTGGGAGAGCCAGACCGCAGTTCATTTCCTCATATTCCAAACGAGAAATTACGGTAGCATATCACCCGGTTCTTTACGACCAGAACTATTTACCGGGATAAAAACCGGAGGAACCAGGCATGGAGGGAGGTGGCAGAGACAGTGGGTGAAACTGGTAGGTTTTCACCTGTTTGGGGATTTTATATCCAGTTTACTTCGTTTTAACATTGCTATTGCTTTGTATGTCGGGGGCGGGAGATTCATGTGATTGGTTGTTGGTCGCCTTGGGCGCGAGAAATCGCCAAGCCTCAGACACGCCCAGCTTCAAGATTTTTTGATGCCTGTAGTGTAGACGGCCCGTTAGCCTTCCCTAGCCTACAGTACCCGCCGCCCCTGCTCTTGAGGATAAATTCAAAGTTCTTGACATTTTCCGGATCGTCTGGCCTTCATTTCTTAAAGTGATGATGGACGGTCGTTTTTCTTTACTGAGTTGAGTCATTCTTGCCATAATATGGATTACAACTAGGGATGCTCCGATCGCCAATTTTGGGGCCGATCGCCGGAATCAGTATCGGCCGATACCGATCGCCGATCCATCGAGTGGGCGGGGCCTATGGGGATCTTCCATTTAAAGCAGTGGTTCCCAACCGTTTTTCCTAAGAGCCCCCCCAAATGACTCCGGTTGGAAGTTGCGCCCCCCCCCCCCCCTCCCACACACACAAGGGGGGGGGGGGGGGGCGCAACAGCGCTAATTAAAGTTTAAAAGTCTCAAAAATGCTACAACTACTGTCACAAACTAGATGAATGTGAAGCATTTTGTTAAAGGAGGATGAAAGCGTAATTAAGGAGCACTATTGGAGTGACTTTGATGGTTATTGGACTCAGGATTAATTAATTTGGATTCCCGCTGAATGAAGAAATTAAAGGATGCCGCAAGTGGAAACAATTCACAAAGGGATTAAACTGTTTAAAACACATGCTCAAAGTAAGCCGGATTTTGCAGATGTGTTTATGTGGATTCAAAAGTCGTAAATAATCTACAAAATGGAGGAGACCGATCTGATCGGAGCAACTGTGACAAATAATCCCTCCTGGCTGGTCTACCTGCATGTGCCATCCGACCTCTGCAGCTCATCCAGAATGCAGCGGCTCGTCTGGTCTTCAACCTTCCTAAATTCTCCCACACCACTCCGCTCCTCCGCTCCCTTCACTGGCTTCCGGTAACTGCTAGAATCCACTTCAAGACACTGGTAATTGCTTACCATGCTGCGAATGGATCTGGCGCTTCGTACATCCAGGACATGGTTAAACCGTACACCCCAGCGCGTGCACTACGCTCTGCATCAGCCAAACGACTCGCTGCACCCTCGCTGCGAGGGGGACCCAAGTTCCCATCGGCGAAAACACGTGGGTTTGCTGTCCTGGCTCCAGGATGGTGAAATGAGCTCCCCATTGACATCAGGACGGCAGATAGCTTGCACATCTTCCGGCGCAAACTGAAAACTCATCTCTTTCGACTCCACTTCGAGCGATAGAACTATTAACGAAGCACTTTTATACTAATAAAGGACTGGCTTATCTAAATCCAGTTGAGTAGCACTTGAAATGTTTGGCTCTATAAAACCTGATGTACTTATATGATTCTGTTTTCTTCAAGTTTGTATTTTGTCGGTCGAACGCACTTATTGTAAGTCGCTTTGGATAAAAGCGTCAGCTAAATGCAATGTAATGTAATGTAAATAATCCAACTGAAACCGGCATGGACAATGACTATGTATTAAAAATGCGCTTATCCAGAAAAGCCTGGTTTGGACACAAGTAAATATTTCTATTAAAGAAAGAATTATACATTTCTGTCTTTTTATGCCTTTAATAACTTGAATTTTTATTCAAATTAATTAATCAATTATTTTTGATGTTGTAATGTAGAGACTTTTAGTGACAATCATGTATTGCTTTACAATTATATGTGACCCGCTCTATCGAAATCAGTCGGAAGTCGCAACGGCTCATTTCAAAATAAACGTGGATTTGCGTAAAAAACAACAATTTTTTCGGGGTTCGGGTGTTTTGTTTGATTTTAAATAAACAAAGTCTTGGCTTTCAGAATATGAAACTTTTATTTCCAAAATCACACGATAAATACATTTTTGAAGCTTGTAAAGGGAAGATGACAGGCACCTCTCACTCGCACTCTGCTCTTCTGCAGCGCCGCCCCCCCTCCCTCCGGCTGACGTTATGAATGTACGCGTATAGTAATCATAAATAACACGGCAGGGTCCATTACAGTTTGTTTTCATCTGATTTCAATTAAACAAAGTCTTGGCTTTCAGAATATTAAACTTGTTTCGGCAAATTCAGATGATAAATACAACTTTGAAGCTTGTAACGGCATAATTACAAGCGGAGAACGGAGTAATTTAACGTCACAGCAGGCAAAACAACAGCCGGTGTTTCTCGTGAGTGTTTTCCCCGGGAAACAAACGCAATACACACAAACGCAAAATTACACAAACACACACACACGTATACACACACACACTCGCGAGCTTCCCCCATACCAGTAATCCAAACGAAAATATCTTCCCTCCGTAGTATTTTGATAATTTGCTCCGCTAATAATCAATCAGATCGATGGATTCCAGAGAAGAGAAAACTTTAAAGGCCTTTTTCTCAAAATGATGACTCGGTGACAGTCATTATATAATGTGACATATTTCGATTAATATTTGGAGTACAAAAACAATCCTGATATCATTAGAAAGCTAGGAATATCCTCTTTCCAGCAGTGTATACAACTCAAAATGTGTCTTCGGGTCAATGCGACTGATTTCGATAGAGCAGGTCACATATGTAAAAAAAAAATCTAAATATGATATTTGGCCTCAAATAATCTGAGGCCTGGCGCCCCCCCTGCGATCTTTGGCGCCCCCCCAAGGGGGACGCGCCCCCCAGGTTGGGAACCACTGATTTAAAGTGATGTTTAAAACTCAGTTAATGGGGCTCATTCACTGGAGCTTCCACAAACAACAACCAACATAATTATTACATTCAGATGAAGTACATTATTCAAGTTTACATTAACTTTGGAAAATAACACGGGAGAAATATTTTCCTCTCTCCCCCTCTCTCTCCTGACAGCCTGTCAGTATCTCATGCAGCTCACTGATCCAGTAATGAGTGACCTGACAGTGAAGAATAAATATATGTATAACTAGTTTAGCTTGTTCCAGAGGTAGATAAAATAGCTAAGTGTGTTAGGTCTAACTCTTAGTGTGTGTTTTGCTCCGCTCACCGGTCCGGCAGGCGGAGCTGCAGGATTTCTGCTTCACACACGTTGCATACCGCTATTTTATTGTCATTTTCGGACACCTTAAAATACTGCCTGACTGGTGAAGCCATTTTGGCGAGCTTGCTTTGCTGCGCACAGAGAAAAGGGTCATGTATTTTACGTCATGCGATCGGCTCTCACGATCGGCATTTTTAGAGAGCAGCGATCGATCGGCAGGGAGTGAGTATCGGCCGATATGGATCGGCGGCCGATCGATCGGAGCATCCCTAATTACAACAGTAGTCAAATAGGGCTTTCCACTGTGCACTAACCCTAACTCTGCACAACACAACTGATGGTCTCAAACACATTAAGAAGGCAAGTAATTCCACAAATTGACTCTTGACAAGACACACGTGTTAATTGAAAACCATTCCAGGTGACGACCTCATGAAGCTGATGAGAGAAGCCAAGAGTGTGCAAAGCTGTCATCAAGGCAAAAGGGGGCTACTCTGAAAAATCTTTTTTAACACTTTTTTGTTAACTAAATAATTCCATATGTGACCTGCTCCATCGAAATCAGTCGCATTGACCCGAAGACACATTTTGAGTTGTATACACTGTTGGAAAGAGGATATTCCTAGCTTTCTAATGATATCAGGATTGTTTTTTGTACTCCAAATATTAAGCGAAATATGTCACATTATATAATGACTGTCACCGAGTCATCATTTTGAGAAAAAGGCCTTTAAAGTTTCCTCTTCTCTGGAATCCATCGATCTGATTGATTATTAGCGGCTAGCAAATGATCAAAATACTACGGAGGGAAGATATTTTCATTTGGAGGGGAAGCTCGCGAGTGTGTGTGTATACGTGTGTGTGTGTGTTTGTGTAATTTTGCGTTTGTGTGTATTGTGTTTGTTTCCCGGGGAAAACACTCACGAGAAACACCGGCTGTTGTTATGCCTGCTGTGACGTTAAGTTACTCCGTTCTCCGCTTGTAATTATGCCGTTACAAGCTTCAAACTTGTATTTATCACCTGAATTTCCCGAAACAAGTTTAATATTCTGAAAGCCAAGACTTTGTTTAATTGAAACCAGATGAAAACAAACTGTAACGGACCCTGCCGTGTTATCTATGATTACTATACTCTTACATTCATAATTTTAGCCGGAGGGAGGGGGGCGGCGCTGCGGAAGAGCAGATTGCGAGGGAGAGGTGCCTGTCTTCGTCCCTTACAAGCTTCAAAAATGTATTTATCGTGTGATTTTGGAAATAAAAGTTTCATATTCTGAAAGCCAAGACTTTGTTTGTTTAAAATCAAACAAAACACCCGAACCCCAAAAAAATAGTTTTTTACGTAAATCCACGTTTATTTTGAAATGAGCCGTTGCGACTTCTGACTAATTTCGATAGAGCGGGTCACATATGTGTTCTTTTAGTTTTGATGTCTTCAATAATAATTTACAATGTAGAAAATTATTAAAATAAATAAAAACCTTCGAATGAGCAGGTGTGTCCAAATATCATAAACAAGTGTTTGCCACAGAGCCTTTTTTCTGCAATATTCCGTAATTCAATGTTAAATCTCATTGCTATTTGTCGAGGGAACCAGGGAGATGCCAACTTCTTTATACCTGATGACGTGGACATGGTTCTGGGCTTCATGTATGTGGGAGGAGGTACAGGCTTGTCCAGGATAGCACCTGAGGGACAGAGACAGTAGGTCCCAGTAAGACTGAGGGTCACTTTTAATCCGAGCTGTACATGTAATGAATACAACAGGAACACCGGGCTCCACTGAAGCCTTTTTAATTAAGTGACACAGCAGTAAGTGATCTGCTGCTCTGTTCTCATCAGCAGGAGATTCACTGAAGGTGCAGCAGCAACATTACTGCTGGCAATATATTACATTAATTAGTTCCCAAATGAAATAAAAATCTACGGTGGTCGATAATTGGCTTCAACGGCCCAGAATAATCCTATTAGGTGAAGACTTTTCTTCATTTGCGTGTGTTTTGTCAGATTAGTGTTTTTTTATTTGCTTAATTTTTGAAACTGTGGTGCATTTCTCCTTATGGAAGTGTTTTGGGCCTTAATAATGCGTTTGTAACTGTCTGCCACTGTAGAATCACTTCAAATGTTACACTTTTCAACACGACTTTGCAAGTTAAATACTGAAGATTGTAAAATGATTAGTATTATTTTTTTGTGTTTAAAGATTTGCATAGAAATGCACTCTCACCTTCAGAGTTGGCCTTTCTCAGCTCCTCGTCTTTATTCTAGACACATATTAAAATACATTATTAAACTACTCAACACAGGATCCAGAATGTATGATGGATAAGCAGTCCTCGTTAAATAAATGTGCCACAAATATATAAAATCCCTCTAAAACACACACACAAATCCTACCTGACTGGTCTTGGTGTCAGCAGGTGGAGTTTTGGCCACGCCCATTCTGTGCAGCATCACCTGAAGCCTCTGTTCAAAACTAGACGTGCTCTCAGACGCATGTTTCTGAAAGACCATCCATAGACATTTAGAATAATAAAAAATGCATTTTTGTATGTTACTGTCAGTGCTGTGGTATTCTTTACCATAATCAATCAAATAATCAATCATCATAAATGTGGACCAAACTGATAAACACATGAAGCCTGCAGAATACTTAATCTGACAGAATCTGATCTAACACTCAATGATTACAGTTGTCTCGCATTCTGGTAACAACTGAAACTGCTGCAGGACTTCTGAGTGTCTCCATCTCTTAAAGGATCAGATGCAGCTGACAGATGCTGGAATTGTCAGATAACTTCTTGTTACATCTCTTAGCTTTGAACTCTGACAGTCTGATCAAGATTAAGAGTCTGTTCAGACCTCAGGATAGACTTTAGGACAGTATCTGTGCTTTTACATGTTGTTGTCCTTTTACTACTAACAAGTAGTACCAATACAATAATCTTCAGCCTATGCACCGCACTACAGCAGTGCAGGAATAATATTGCTGTTGATAAATTATAATTATTTGTATAACCAAGTCAAAGAGAAGAAATATACATGTACATTTTACAAACCAGTTTCTGGTTTTCTTTGAAAACGGGTCAGTTCAGACTGACCTTACTGTGTGTGTCATCCTTGTCTTCAGGCTCTAACCCTGTCAGCAGGATGAGGCTCTGGCTCTTTCCCTCCCTCAGCGACCTCTTGGTCACCTTGAGTCTCCTCTCTCCAAACGGACTCCCTCCCAACATCTCCTTCATCTGCACCCCGCCCCTCTCCTGCTCCGTGAGAGGGGAGGTGACTACAGGACTGGAGGTGGGGCCTAGCAAGAGAGGAACTGCCTCTCCTGTTAGATTGGATAGTGTGGCAGTGGTGAGGTCGGGGCTTGTGGCGGTATTGGGGAAAGAGGGAGTGGTGTCACTGGAAGGCGTCGTCGTGGTTAAAGTCTTGGCAGGCGCCATCGTTCCCTTCGCATCGCCTGCAGGATGCTGGCCCGGGGCAGCGGTTCCTTCTGTGGTGGCGGCATCATTACAAACGTTAGCATCCTCCACTGACCTTGCCCCTCTCCCCTTGTCCCTCTCCCTCTCTTTGGCCTCGCGGAGGGGTCGGATGAGGTCTGCGATAGAGGTCCTTTTGACCTTCACCCCCTCTCCTCCTCCCTCTCCCCCTCCTGCCTTGGGGGCTCGGCCGCCTCGAGCCCTCTTGAAGGCAAAGAAGTCGCCAAACTTTTTCTTGATGTTTTTGGTGGGAAGTGTGGTGGTGGGGGTGACAGAAGAGGGGGGTGCGGGGGGAGTGGAGGATGTAGAGAGGAGGGGTACATCAGTGGATGTAAAGCATGTGTCAGTGGATGGGACAGAGGGAGAGGTGACAGTGGTGCTGGGGGAGATGGTGATATTGTCAGACGAAGAGGAAAAGGGGGTTGAGGCTGAGGGGGTGGAGCTTGAGTCTGGGGGAGTGGCTGGGGCAGGGATTGACTCCTCCCACCGACCTTTTCTGCAGCAGAGACAGCAGAAAGAGCAACAGACAAGAAGAGACACTCAGTACTACCACTACTGCTACAGGAGTCAGGACACATGCTTAGTTCAGGTGCACAACACAACAAGAAGGGTCATGCAGATGGCCCACAGAGCAAAGATATCCGTCAGAGAGCGACCACACTGACACACACCATGATCCAGAGCACCATATCTAAACGACTCTTGGAAGGATTACCATTACATTTGGTTTGGATATTTGGAGTGGTGCAGGAATGAGTTATTAAGTTCTTGAGTTCTTCTATTTTTGGTTGCCTTGTCTAGAAGTCAACATTTCTTTTGAAACTAAGTTTTGGTTGGATGCCTGAAACAAGATCTCTGGTTAACACAAGCTGAAGAGATTGTGTTCAACAACATAAAATACGTCAGTAATCGTGAATTTCCAAAATGTCTATGTGTCGTAAAAAGAGTGGTTTCTAACAAGGGACTAAATAAGACTACTAAATGTCTCACGCTAAACATTAGCCGCCTTTAGCTTAGCGGTTGTGATGCGCCATCATGTATTTTCATTTTTTAGCCTAACGTTAGCATTTTACTTCTGTCAATAGCATTTATGCTTCAAAGATCATAACATTGGTGTTAATCTGTGAAGATTATCCCGCTGAACAACGGGTAAGTAATATACAATAAGTACATGAAAAACATAAATACCGCACTAATAAATGGCCAAACTTCTATGTGTCATAAAAGCGGCAGTTAGCAGTTAGCTAGCAAATGACTAAATGGGGAAAACTAAACGTCATCAAGCCGACATTAGCCGTCTTTAGCTTAGTCATGGTGACGTGAAGTCATGTGCTGTAGTTCCTTAATAGCTTAACGTTAGCTTTTTACTTCTGGCTATTACATTTAATCTTCAAAAAATTAAAGTGGTGTTAATATTGTGAGTATATAATGCTGAACAAGACTTGTAAGTATCATAAACGTGTGTTTGACATGGATCTTTTTCTATTCCAAAATCTATGAAAAAAATGTTGGATGCTAACTTCCGGGCTAATATTTTTTTGAACTACTGTGGTTGCCTCCTGAGATTTCGTCTAGCATTATTGTCAGGTCCAAATCAAGTACTTTTTTTAATCCATCGATGATGAACAGATATGCTTTCATCTCAGCAACTGCTGCAGTGTATTGGGCTGGAACAGTTTTTAGGCTTCCACTCTTTTTTTCTCCACTCACAGTCCATATGGGGCTACAGAGCTGTGATTCAGCAGTTGTGTGGAGGAACAGCTGTGGTGGACTGCAGCTGCTGATGGATGCTTTTGCTTTATGGCTGGTGTCGACGAAGGGTGAAAATGAAAACATGGACGCCAACAGAGGGCAGTCAGAGATGATTCCATTCAAATGACTTTGCATGTCTTCAACTTTACAAAGACATGTAGTACAATTTGAGTGTAAGTTGTGTTGGATGCATAACCCAGGTCAGGTCAACCTGCTTTAGCCAACATGAGGTTACCAACTCCCTTCATGTACAATCACCATCATGTGATTGCAGTCACTAATATATGATGGGTTGTGTGATCCATTCTTCTTTCACTGATGAAGAATGTGAAATATTGTTGGTAGTCCAGGAAAACGCTACTATGGGACCCTTTGAACTGAACATATTTGTCTCACAGCAGGCCAACTACCTTTATTTTAATTATTGTTGTATTATTTCAACCCAGTCTCACAGCATTTCGTGTTATAGTCACGACATTTAATCTATTGATTTGTGTTCACCAACACGATTTCCCCCTTTTTTTCGTGTCAAACAGAACGATATTAAAAGCAATGTATTTCTATTGGTAGTATGTTTCGTGCCTGCACCACGTCTTTTTGATATTGAGTAAGAAAATGTTTTTATGAACCACACAGTTTCCGGTCTTCCAAGACCTGACTGGAAGCTGTGTGGTTCATAAAAACATTTTCTTACTCAATATCAAGCCACGATTATTGTTTTTATTTTAAATTGTATAATGTCTGACTTTTTTTGCTGTCCGCGAGGAAAAGAAATGGGGCTCAGAGCCTCAGAATACTGAAATCAGTATTTTTAAAATCTTTTTTTCCTTCTAATTTGTTATTCTCTTCTAAATAACACACTTGTATTTACTCAACAATAACACACAATTATCCTTGTTTTTATTTATTTGTTTAATTCTATAATATCACCGGAAACAGACGTAGGCGATACACACCCACTGAACTGATTACCCAAGATCCTCAGCTATGGTTGAAGCTCTGTGATTGGATGTTTTGGCCGCAATGCAAGTTGGGATATGGTGTTTATGCGGAAAAAAAATTTGTAATAAAAAAAAATACTTTATTCCGAGTGTACTTGCTTTTCTCTTTGAAAGTCATTACATAACGGCATTGTAATACACTGTTCGGCTGCATTACATATTACAGATCCGCCGTAGTTCTTTATTTATAGAGCCCTGATTAGAAGACTTCTAGACAAACTGGAAGAACTGCCACCGAAACTGAATACATGATGTGGATCATAAATATATCAGAAATTAAACAACATCTTCAATTTCTCTTCACACAATACGTCTCCTTGCAGTATCAACACTAATTCGGCTGACTTTTATATTTGATCCAATTGGTAGATAGGTAGCGGTGCACCGCTGATAGACAGGGACTTGTAGTTTTTAAAGATATTACTGATTTTCTTTGAAATAAAGAATGTAAATACTGAGTTGAGAGAATAGTCAGGGGTTTTGGGTGATGGGAGACACATCTATGGATTCAGAATTTCAATAGCTTACCATTAAATGACGGATATACCTTTCTGTCTGTGATGTTTTACAAATCAGATATTAATGTGTAGAAGTAAAACATGTCAAATAATATAGCAATATCCTGTACAATTATGTGAAAACATGAATAAAACTACACATCTTCAGATGTTATACATACATAAGTGTCCTACACTAATAATAGAAAGTATAATTAGTTGTGTTTGACAGTGTTTTAACCCGCACCGCCTAGTGGTTAAAGCACGTTATTTAATTTTGTTGTTGAATATGTTATATTTGATGAAAAAAATATTAAGAGTACATACATAGGGGGAAAGTAGAAGGTCAATGATAGAAATATAGAATATAAAAAAGTCAAGAAGATACTGTAAGTGATCTCTACAATAAAACAGTTTAGTGCCGGATATACAAAGATATAGGAGGATGTGCAAAACAGACAAACCAATTCACCTTTACTAAAACATTAAAGAATACTTTAGATTAAGGTCTTCCTTTAAATAAGAAAAAGCTTTGGGGGTATCTACAGATAAATATTAAGCCTGACAAAGTACTTAACGTCTAATATATTGCTTTCCTGCTATGTTAACTATGTTGAAGCATTTATTTTTAACTGATATTATACAGTTGCAAGAAAAAGTATGTGAACCCTTTGGAATTACCTGGATTTCTGCATAAATTGGTCATAAAATGTGTTCTGATCTTCATCTAAGTCACAACAATAGACAAACACAGTCTGCTTAAACTAATACCACACAAACAATTATATGTTTTCATGTTTTTATTGAACACACCATGTAAACATTCACAGTGCAGGGTGAAAAAAGTATGTGAACCCCTACGCTAAAGACTTCTTCAGGAGCTAATTGGAGTCAGGAGTCAGCCAACCTGGAGTCCAATCAATGAGACGAGATTGGAGGTGTTGGTTAAAGCTGCCCTGCCCAATAAAAAATACACACCAGTTTTGAATTTGCTATTCTTAAGAAGCATTACCAGATGTGAACCATGCCTCGCACAAAAGAGCTCTCAGAAGACCTACGATTAAGAATTGTTGACTTGCATAAAGCTGTAAAGGGTTACAAAAGTATCTCTAAAAGCCACTAGGACCACTATTGCGGTAAGCATGTTGTAACTTCCGGTTGTTGTTGTCACCTCCGGGTATCCTGTGTGCCTGTTCTGCTGCTGATAGCTTATTATCTTAACTTAATCGATCGTTTTAATACTCTTGATCACGGCAACTGCCTGACGTTGTAATCACACGTTACTACAGCTTAAGCACTCACAACTCTCCTTCTCTTAGCGACTGTAACTCCACAGTTGCCTACACTTTTTTCGGGTTTGCTAACGGTAGCTACTTTAGTTTGATAGCTAGCCATGGCTCTTTCCCCACCCTCGGGTGCTATTTCCTGCTCTACCTGTCTCATGTTTGGTTACTTCCCTACCTCCTTTACTGGTACATGTGTTAAATGTAGTATAGTTGTTAGGTTGGAGGCGGGAATCATAGCCATAGAAGCCCGGCTCCGCATCTTAGAAAGTAACTCAGCTACAGTAAAGCCCATGTTAGCCGGTGCGGACCGGCATAAGGTAGCTCCTCTTAGCCGTCCCCCGGCAACTCCCGAGCAGCAGGGAGACTGGGTGACTGTTCTGAAGGGGCCTAACGCGAAACCCGCAGGTCCCCACCAACCCGTTCACGTATCTAACAGATATTCCCCACTATTCAAGTCAACTCTGGTTATTGGTAGCTCTATTATGAGATACGTGAATTTAGAGACCGAAGCCTCCACAGTCACATGCATTCCGGGGGCCAGAGCGGGCGACATTGAGGCGCATCTTAAACTGCTGGCTAAAAATAAACGTAAATACAGTAGGATTGTTATTCACGTCGGTGGTAATGATGCTCGTTTACGCCAATCAGAAAGCACCAAACTTAATGTGGAGTCGGTGTGTAGTTATGCTAAAACAATGTCGAACACCGTAATCTTCTCTGGTCCCCTCCCCAATCTGATCAATGACGACATGTATAGCCGCATGTCATCTTGTCAGCGCTGGTTGTCTTGGTGGTGCCCAGCAAACAATGTGGGCTTTGTAAATAATTGGACAGCCTTCTGGGGAAAACCTGGTCTGATTAAGAGAGACGGCATTCATCCTACTTTGGAAGGTGCAAATCTCATTTCGGCAAACATTTCAGGCAGTGGCGGCCGGCCCATAGGGGCGCTAGGGGCGCCGC